AACCGTTGTAGATTTTTGCATTCAGTAATTGTTCATGCTCTTTCCTCACTGGCATCTATCAAAATATTTTCCCCATTAGGTACTTGCTGCTGGGATGAATCCTGTTCAAGTTGCTCGTGGAATTGAGAAGACCGCAATTGCTCTCGTTTCTGAACTCAAGTTGATGTCAAGGCAGGTATTCCCGACTTCTTTTAACTATTCAAGTATCACTATTAGTGAACAAATGTTGCTTTCAGCTTCGTTAATGAAAATAATGATATTCCTTCTCAACCTCATGTACTGTTTTAGCTACTGGCATGTCATTTTCATATTCTGCGTACTGTTTCCTCATGTTTTCGCAGATCCTTTTCTGAAACTTTTGTAAGAACTCACACTGCATTTTATTTCATACATTTTCTTGATGAGATGTGCTGATCATGCAGATTGAAGACCACGAAATCGCTGATGTTGCAGCAGTTAGTGCTGGCAATGACTACACTGTAGGAAACATGATTGCTGATGCTCTTAGACGAGTCGGCAGAAAAGGTGTAGTTAGAGTTGAGAGTGGAAGAAGCACAGAGAACAATCTGGAAATACTAGAAGGAATGCAATTCGAACGTGGCTATCTGTCACCTTACTTTGTTACTGATCGTGCAAATATGTCAGCAGAGTTGAATAACAGCAAGGTTGTTGCACACACTGTCACTATTTTGCGAAGTGTTACTTGTGGATAAATCCCCTATACTATGACTCGATTGCAGATAGACCTAAGTAGTTCCATGATTGCAGATAGACCCCCTGAGTGAAATCTTTTTTTACTCTTTTACCCACAGAGAAAGAGATTTTTTTATTTTATTTATTTATTTAGATTTTTTTTTGACAAATAGACCTCCTGAAGGTAAGTGAGTCAAAAAAAATGCATGGGTTCTACGAGAGAACTGGGTCTCTTTCCGCACTTACCTTTTGCTATCAACAAAATTATTATTTATTCTTGTGTTAAGAGTGTACAATTATAACCCTCAAACCCTTATCGTTACTTTGGAGTTATGATATTGTGAAAAATATTTTCGGTATCAGGGTTACCGAGGTTCAAATCCCCCAACCACACATTTAAAGCGAATAAAAAAGAATGTCCTTGTGTTCTATCTGCAAGCATGCCAAAGTATAAAATTATAACCCCCAACCGTCACAATAGCGCTTCAAATTTTAACAGCTTGAACTTCTCAGTGCAGATACTATTGGTTGACAAAAAAATCACGACTCCTAAGGAATTGTTCAGGATATTGGACAATGCGGTACAAGAGGACTATCCAATCTTGATAATTGCAGAGGGGATTGAAGAGGATGCTTTGACTCCAATAATTAGAAACAAACTCAAAGGTGTGCTGAAGGCAGCTGCTATTAAAGCTCCTGCATTTGGAGAGCGCAAGAGCGACTACTTAGATGACATTGCTATATTGACTGGAGGTGATATAGGGATTCATTGTACTGAATTTGTAGATCATTCTGCACTTTTTGTGACTATATTCTATTGGTTTGCAGGTAAAGTAGTTAGAGATGTGATGGGATTAACTCTTGAAAAAGCTGGAAAAGAGGTTTTAGGTTCTGCTGTCAAAGTTGTAATCACCAAGGATTCGACACTAATTGTTACTGATGGGAGCACCCAGAGTGCAGTAGAGAGGAGGGTTTCTCAACTAAAAAGTCTTGCTGAGGTAAAACAATAATAATAATAATAATAAAACTTTATTCCTCCCCCCTCCCCCCGCCCCGTAAGTATAACGAAACGACAGATATGTGCAGTATACAATTTGACTGATACATGTATTCACGGAGAAAGCTTCTAACTGACAACCTTTCCTTACTCATCCTATAAATCCTCGAAATCATATTTCTAAACTGGCTATTTTCCTAAATTTCAGAACTCTGAAGAAAAGTTTGACAAGAAAATAGTAAACGAGAGGATAGCAAGGTTGTCTGGTGGGATTGCAATGCTTGAGGTAAGATAACGTGGTAGCAAGTCCATTAGTTATTTGTGCAATTGTTAAGAAATGGCATGCCTGTTCAGTAAATAGTGTTCTTGAAACCAAATGGCAGGTTGGTGCACAAACACAAGTTGAATTGAAGGACAAAAAGCTAAGAATTGAAGATGCTCTCAATGCAGCACGAGTAAGTTGCACCTTATCCTTAATAATCTTGTATAAGAGAAGATGTCGTAAAACTCTTGAATAATGTTGTAGGCAGCCATTGAGGAAGGTGTTGTAGTTGGTGGTGGATGTAGTCTATTAAGGCTGTCTACTAAGGTGGATCGCATCAAGGATTCTTTGGATAATGAAGAACAGAAGGTACTGTTATAAAATTTTGTTTGTTTGATCCTCATTTTTATAGTTTGCTAACCTTTTATTGGTTTACAGATTGGTGCAGAAATATTTAAAAGGGCTTTAAGTTATCCTACAAAGTTGATTGCAAAAAATGCTGGTGTCAATGGGAGCGTTGTTGTAGAGAAGGTCCGAAGTTTATATGATAACTTCCCAATTTTCTATCATCTGATACTTCACGAATTCACGCAATCTGATGTTCTATTTTACTCTTTAGGTGTTGTCCATTGATGATGTAAGATATGGTTATAATGCAGCTACCAACTGTTGTGAAGACTTGATGGCTGCGGGAATTTTAGATCCATCCAAGGTACACATAATATTAAGTTGATAGTGGCGACAACAATGTTTATGTCTCAATACTTGGAGAGAAGTAATTTGGCAGGAGAAACTTTAGCATATGCTTAAGGGGGAAAGAAGAAAGGAGATTCATGACAATAAATAACGGTAACCTTAAAACTAAGCTAGAAAGTGAGAGAAGCCCTTCCATATTGTCTGACAGTTTTAATGCTAGGTCTTGTTGTTTGTAGTTTCTCTAGTGACAAAACTTTTTGTACCTACTGTAGGTAAATCTGGCATCGGGCTTGATATGTCCTGTGTTGTTGTATCGACTTGGGGCTTTTTTTTTGCTCATTGTTCTGCTTGGAAAGAGATTAGTATTTTGATGATTAGCCGTTCATTTGTATAATTCTTTCTCAGGTAGTCAGGTGTTGTGTGGAGAATGCTGCTTCAGTTGCCAAAACTTTTATTACATCTGATTTGGTGGTTGTTGATGCAAATGAAGATCTGCCCACTCCTTATCGTACTCCCATGCCAACTTCGAATTTTAAGCCTGCTTCTTCTTCGAATTTTAAGCCAAGATCAGGTGTGCTTTTATTCACAAAACATATATCACAGTCATCAATTTGGAATTCATATAACTTTGATTGAAGTGTTATTTTCTGTAACGTGTACGTGAATTAAGTCGGATTCTTTTGCAATGTATTTTTGACGGTTTGTTGCGTTTCCAGTTATTCCTTTCTAGCCGGCTGGTGGAGATGCTTCAGCTGTGCAGTCATTTGCTGTACCGTTCTCAGTCTTCTCCATCCATTTTGCACGTCAAACTTTTAATTGAGGAAGTTGGAGCTAGAAGAGAGATTTCTCGGAGGATAATGGATTAAGACAACTCAACCACAATATGCAGCTACCCGTGACATGGCAATTGGAGGAATGAGAGCTACGCGAGAGAAGGTACGGCTCCACACCCTGTTGCCCGAGAAAGGATGTTGTTCTCCTTTGTAAATTATGCTTTTTATGTGGATGCTCATGTGTGTTTCTCTTGAGTAAATAGACCATGAAAGATGATCAGAACATATAATTCTATGGAATTTTATGAAATAATGATTTTTTCCCCCGCACTTGGACCTGATCTGATCGAATGAAAATCGCAGTGTTGTTTTGATTGGGATTTCAATACTCAAAAATAGGTACAGGGAAATAAAAGCTTACAAAATAAAAAGTTAAAACTTAAAACTCATTAGAAAAGCTTAATAATCAGTGCAAAAGAGGCTGAACCTACGTTTGGCAGAATATAGACAACCAAATAACAAGAAGCAGGCAGAAAACCAATTTTGACCGCACCTGATATATTCTGTTTTAAAACTTTCAGATTCAAGCTGTCAGATCATACCAAATCCTGAAATAACTAATTTATTATTCTCATGAAAAATCTTGAAATTTATGCACAAAGCTAACGAATCATCAAACCTCAAGCTTCCCATAGACTTACTGATTTAATTAGAATACAAAGGCTAAATTTAACCAAAGAATATATGGAAACCGAGGGCATAACCAAGAGAACTTGATGAAATTGAGCACCAGATGATATGGTGAAGAGATCCTTTATGAATTTGTTGAGAGCTTAGAGCATCTCCAATGGAGCGCCAAAACTCTATTTTGAAGTGTTTTGGCGCTCCAATGGAACGCCAAACACCCCGCTAAATTAGCGGGGTGCTACAGTGTTGCGCCAGAAATGGCGCAACACTGTAGCAATTTTATATTAATTATTATAATGAAATTAGAGTATAAAATAATTATTAAAATAAAATTCAAAAAGAAATACCAACCATTTAGATAAAAATTATATGTAATGTATTATATAATTACATAATTTGTTAAATATTTTAAATAGTTAAAATGTTAAAAGATAAGAATAAAAAAAGGAATATTATTTTTTTTGTAAAATTTGGTGTAATGGGTAGGAGATGGAATAGTGATTTGGTGTAAAAACTACACCAACTTGATGTAAAAACTACACCATTTTGGGTTTTGAGATGGAATAGTGATTTGGTGTAAAAACTACACCAACTTGATGTAAAAACTACACCATTTTGGGTTTTGTGGTTGGAGATGCTGTAAAAACTACACCAACTTGATGTAAAAACTACACCATTTTGGGTTTTGTGGTTGGAGATGCTCTTAGAAAGAGTTCGATTAAGAAAATAGAAGAAATGAATAATTTGTACAAAGTTTTATCTCTATTTCTATTCAATAGCTTCATGAAAAGATATTTTATTCATTTGCTGAACATTTTTTCTGTAATCATTTCATGAATAAATCACCGGTCACTCCTGATTACTGAATATTTTTCCGCAACACCTGCCTATGATTAATTAAAAGAACCACACATTAAGCCATTAATAAAAAAGAGAATGGAATTTTATAGCTTGGGCAGTACTATAAGAGTTATATTTTACAGATTCATAGCATCAATTTTGAATAATTAAACAAGTTGTTTGGCTCCTCTTTGCCATCAGAAATACAGTAGAGAGTCCACTTTTTTCAAACACAGCCGTTTACTATTTAACTGTTGCTGTGAAAAATGAGTTCAAAATCATGAGGAAACACTAGTAAGTGTGACATTTGGACTGAATCAGGACTAAGTATTAAAGGACGATTGAAATTAAAAAGTGGGTTCTCCCCTATATTTTGACAGCGAAAAGGATCGAAATCTTTAAAAAAAGAAAACTATTTACAAGTACTCCATCAAACACAGTAAGAAACTTCATCACAACAACTAATTATATATATATCATTAGAACAGTAGTAAAACAAGAGGAGAACCCTCCTCATCTACAACCAAACGAGCCAAAATATTATACTACTAGTGTTTATAACAAAAATAAATTACCATCATTTGTCAGTCTTTGTTTTTCTTCCCTTGGAACTTCCCTGCCCCTTCTTTGAACCCTTTGCCTTCTTCTCCTCTTTCTTTGTCTCCACCTTAATCTTACTCCCCTGTCCATTGCCTTTGTTCGATGAGTGATTACAATAAGCTGGTCCGCTCGATGCATCAGAAGCCATGGAGTCGTCATCCTCATCATCATCGTCATTGCTGATTTTTCTAGCGGCATCTTCACCCACACCATCTTCAACCTCACCGTCTCCGTTGTCGTCGTTGTCGTCGTCGTCGTCGTCGTCATCATGCATGGGGGATGCTAGGTACATGGTCCATCCTGACTCACTGCTGCTGCATTCCTCTGAAGAAAACTCCATCACTGAGAATGAGAGAGGGAGGAACAAGAGAGAACTAAGCCAAATGGGACAGCTTAAGCCAGCCAATACATAGAAACAATGAGAAAAGATTTCAAGATTAATGCAAACTGTACTGCTACTAACTTTTTAGATACACAGCAATAAATAGGATGATATGATATGATATGTGAAATGTGTATGCAAGTATCTACCACCTGAAAGCTCTGGGCATTGTTTAAAATCTCTGACAGGTCAGCAGCAGGGGGTGGAGGAGAGAATAAAAGGGGCTAAAGATTCATGAGAATGGAACATCCCATCTTCTTTAATTCCCTCTTTCTTGTGAGGAGGCAATGCTCTTTAAATAGGAAATTTAAGACAGCCCATCCTTACAACTTTCTCCACAACCCTTCACAAGCTTTCAACTCTCTGTCAATTTGTCATCATGCCAAAAGGGCACAACATTAGATATATCTCAATTCATCTCCATCTGTCCTCGTGCTCTTTCATTGTCATTATCAACTCTTAAAAAATGCAAAGTTGGTTTTGGAGCTAAGCTTCTTATTATTCTCTAATTTAGGACCTGATAAGTTGCTGATTAGTCTAGCCTTTTGTCTGGTTTGGGCCTTTGGGGGAATATTGCACCAACCTTCCTTATTCCTATTCTATTGTTAGGTTAATTTCACATAGCCCCCCCTAGTGTCGATATTCTGAACTTACTACCCTTGTGGTCTAATTATTGCAGGTAGACCCCCTTTGTTAGAAGTTTTTTATTCTTTTTTACCCGTGGTGGAATTTGGGTAGATATCCCCTGTGGGTGAACATTAATAAGTATCTCATGGTAAAAAAAAAAAAATTCAAAAAAAATACCCAGGGGGTTTCTCTGTAGCAATGAAACTACAAGGGTAGTAAGTTCAAAACAACAATTAGACAAGGGGTCCATGTTCAACTAACCCCTACTGTTATCGTAGTAGTTTGTTCTTTACAAATTTACCTTTGCTCCGATGAATCTTAAACAGTGTTCTTTTACACCTGGTAAATGATCTAATACATCATTGCACTTTTTGGATTTTCTATAGTTGTTACTTTTCGGCATAAAAATGGCAAGTTTATAGATACGGTATCAAATCAAAATAAGAAAAATGCTTGTTGTCTAGACGAAATGTGACTATTTCATAAATCGCTCCTCGATCACTTATGCCTAATATAATGCATATAGCAAAGCGATGTAGCGGGACAATTAGCATTGTATTTATAATTAAATACAATGAGTCCTACAACCAAGGAGAAAAGAGTTGCTTTAAAGGTTTATGGGTTCAAAAAGAAAACTATTCAAAATCCAGGGAGGTGAAGAAAAACCACCCAAGTTTCATTGCTTCCCCTCCTTGAATAGTTTATAGACACCTACATGTTATTTTTCACATGGAAGGTCAATGAATTCTTTATAGGACACTTGAAACTAGAGAATAGGGACCTGTGAACAAAGTGAGGTGGGTGCTTAAATGAGCTCTCCAACCTTAGGCTGTTGTCAGCTCAGAGGGTGATGGGCCTCATTTAAGGTGGCCCACTGCACCAAATCTTTGGGATATCCTACCTTTTGGATGAGAATTCAATGGAGGTAGCTACAATGAGTAATGTCTGCAATCAAACGGGGCGAGAAATCATGCCACTATGTGCCTTGTGGTTTCCTTGCAGGGTTAGGGATTGTGTCTTGTCTCCTTTTAATGCAGACCTGTTGATTTTTGTTCCTTCACTGTTACTTTTTTCGGGGAGAATTTTTCTGTTGGGCAACTAATATTGCAAAATATAGTTAATGCCCCTGCTCAAATGTATGTAGCATCGGAACATGGAAGGTGTAGTGCAGATCTAAGCTGCTCAGAACAGCATTATCTAGACCGTAGAATTCAATAGTACACGATGAATGACGCTCAAGATGACGATAAATGTGGGTGCCTTCTATCTGTGTGCCTGATAGGATACAGATATGAATAATGTTAAGTATCTGAAATTAGTTGATCCAAAACTGATCTTCATGATCGAGATATCTTCCTTTTAAGTTTGTAGATGTGTTGAAACGCATCGATAAACTATGATTTGAGACCTTATTTGTGTATCGTATGCATCATGTAGCCTGCTTGAGTTGCAGTAGTTCCCTCTCATCCAATTGTGCATCTGAGTATACGTTTCTTTTATTTGTTCGACATGGATACGCTTTTACCTTGTTGAAGCATACACGTACTCGCATTAGCATCCCGGGTTAGTTCAACAGATTCGAATGTGATAAATGTCATGGATGTTTCACATCTGATCCGATCGCACTAGTAAATTAGTACTACACGGGCTAATTTTTGGACTATGAAATCAACGTAATGCATGATACATAGTTGATATATATTTGGACTCGTGACTCAAATACAGTTGATCCTTTTGAGTCGATCCTTTTGAGTCGATTGAGTACAAATAGATTAGCCTAGTCCATCCCAATGGGCCTTTGCAATCCTAAGATACCGATATAATAGCCTTTGTCTTGGTGGTTGTTGGCCTTTCCCCGTCTTATTCAAGGATATCATCTTGCAAATTTGGATTATGTACAATTTTTTTAGCATGCACGGTACTCCCTTTGCTCGTTAGCACTTACATCCGGCAAAATGTGGGGCTATGGATGGACTTGGTCGGTCAATCGTCATGGATTTGGACCAAACTGGCTCAATACTTTGGATTGGCCTCATCCATAATAACAAATACAGGTGTTGGGTTCTTATCATGCATGATCATAATAACAAATACAGGTGTTGGGTTCTTATCACGGATGATCATTGAATAATCTTGATATGTTGTAACATACGAGACCATGAAGTGTATAAAACCATATCTACGAAGTTTGTGGCTTACTCTTGGAGATATAAAATTAGCTTTCAATTTTGCTTTTCCTATTCATCTCACTCACCAAGCACAAGTAGTTCTTCTTCTTCTTTTTTGTCTAGCCTTTCGCTTCCTCAAATATCCAACTTAGTATTTTTTTGGTCGTCCATTTATAAAGAGAACAGGACTACCTAATGCGTGTTTCTTAACTTTGTCCTCGATACATGTCTCCCTTGTATCATCAGCATTTAGCACTAGGGGTGCATAAGAATATATGTATCCGAGGAAATATTTGCATCCGTGCCTATTAGGATACGGATATGGTTAATAAACCTAGATCTGTTATGATATGGTTACCGATATAGATATATAGAGAAACATCTAAATTTGTACTGTTGAAATATCCTAAATACGTTGGTCAAACACTTACCATAGTTTTACTCCTTGGATTAATGGATTTGAGATTAATTTGATGATCAAGAGATCTAATCTAAACTTTTTACATATAACAAACATATTAATGAAGTCTCTTGTATAACATGAACTATATTTTTTGCAATATTTTCTGATAATTCTCATATCCTTTTTGTTTTTGTATGATATTTGTGAGTATATGTAGTGCATGTATATCCGTATCTGTATCTGATTTTAGCGGATACGCATAAGAAATTTTCTTACCAATTTTCTTACCAATGCATATTTGTATCTGTATTTATGAATGGTAAAAAAATTACAGGCTTAATAAGTATCATATTCGAGCCATATGTGAACTGTTTGCACCTGTAATTAGCACAACAGTATTAACAATTTCGGAAACTCAACCTAAATCTAAAAGGAAAAGTTTAGGGAAACAAACTTTCGGCAAGCCCAATTTGTAGAGTTGTATGGGCCAGCTGAAATCTCAATAATTGAACAAAGCTCAATTGGGCACTTCCAATTTTATGGGCTGTTTGTTTGCCTAAAAAGAGAGGGTAATCAAAGAAATGGAAAACTATTTCTAAGAAAAATTGTTTTGGGAATGTTTGGTTGGCTAAAAAAAAAAGGAAATCAAAGAATTGAAGATGATATGATGTTAGTTGTCACCTTATTATTGGATGATGTGAGTGATTTTTTAAGATAACTTATTTTGATATTGTTTAGTTGGCGAAAAAAATAAAGAAATGAATTATAAGAAACTTATTTTCCGTAATAGGTTGTTTTCTTTTGTTTGGTTCAATCTTAAAAATAAGAAAATAGATGAGATGAGATGAGTTGTCATTATATTATTGAATGATGTGACTCACACTTAAGAAAATCGTTTTTCTAGCTTTTTGGGAGGAAATTGGTGGAAATGAAATGTTAATGAGATGAGATGAGTTGTCACCATCTTATAGGATGATGTGAGTGATTTGAAATGATGAGATGAGTTGAGTTGAGTGATGTTGTGGATGAAAATAATATTTTATTAGATGTGGAGGATGAGTTGTTGGATGAAAATAATATTTTATTAGATATTGTGGATGAGTTGTTGGATGAAAATAATATTTTATTGGATGTTGTGGATTTTATTAGATATTGTGGATGAGTTGTTGGATGAAAATAATATTTTATTGGATGTTGTGGGTGAGTTTTGGAAAATGCTATAGGCACACCCCTAACCACACCCCCAACCACGTACACTCCTCTCTCGCAACAATGCACTGGGGCCCACATGAGAATTTAAAAAAAATCTCATATGAGCCCCAGTGCACTGTAGCGAGAGAGAAGTGTGGTTAGGGGTGTGGTTGGGGGTGTGACTGTAGCGCCACCCGTGAGTTTTAGGGATGGAAATGGATGAAATTACACTTTTTGAGATTTCCATCTTTTCATTTCAATTTCTTGGTTTTTAGGAAATCTACCAAACAGACAGCCGAAAATGTCAATTCCAACAATTTTTTTCCTTTAAAACTTGTCCGCATTTTAATTCTTCGATTTTAATATTGAGGACATGCTTACATAGTTGGTCTAACGTACACACATACATACATAAACATACATACGTACATATATACATAAACATACACATATATTTACACATACACAGACATGATGTATACCTAATATAT